TACTAGTGCCGTGTCGACACAGGTGCGGCACCTAAACTGCCGTGTCGGAGCAACTTAGACTATCAATTATTGTGTCTTTGTTGGTGGAAATTTTATATCATGGAGGAGTAAGAAACAAAATGTTGTATCTCGGTCAAGTGCAGAATCCGAGTACAGAGCTATGGCATAGGCCACGAGTGAGATTATGTGAATACATAACCTTTTGATAGAAATTGAGTTGAAGCACCCTATACTAGCAAAACTCTGGTGATAATCAAGTCGCTTTGCATATTGCCTCGAATCCAGTATATCATGAAAGAATCATGTGAGAAAGCATGAGAGAAAATATTATTGCTTATTTTATATGTTACAATAAGCCCTATTTATATGTATACATAACACATAACTTACTTCTATTACATAAGGTACTAAGACTAATTACATATATTCACATAACTATTCTAACACTCCCCCTCAAGCTGGTGCATATAAATCATATGTACCGAGCTTGTTACATATGTAGCTAATACGAGGACCAATGAGTGACTTGGTGATAATATCCGACTTTACAAACTTTGTAGCAATATCTCATGAGAGTATCTTTTCTCTGACAAAGTGACAGTCAATCTCAATGTGTTTAGTTCTCTCATGGAACACTGGATTTGATGCAGTATGAAGAGCAGCTTGATTATCATACACAAGTTCCATCTGGCTGATCTTACCAAATTTCAACTCCTTGAGCAACTGCTTGATCCAAATTAGCTCACACGTCGCCATAGCCATTGCTCGATATTCTGCTTCTGCACAAGACCGAGCAACTACATTTTGTTTCTTGCTCTTACAAGACACCAAATTACCTCTTACTAAGACATAATATTCAGATGTAGAACGTCTATCAGAAGGTGATCCTGCCCAATCAGCATCTGAGTATCCAACGATCTGTTCATGGCCTCGATCCTCAAACAATAAACCTTTGCCTGGAGCTGATTTTATATACCGAAGAATGCGGACAACTGCATCCCAATGACTATCACATGGAGAATCCATAAACTGACTCACAACACTCGCAGGAAAGGAGATGTTAGGTTTAGTCACTGTGAGATAATTTAATTTACCAACCAGCCGCCTATATCTTGCAGGATCGCTAAGAGGCCCCCCCTGTCCTAGGCAGAAGTTTAGAATTTGGATCCATCAGAGTGTCAACAGGTCTACAACCTGTCATTCCTGTCTCCTCAAGAATATCTAAGACATACTTCCGTTGTGAGATCACAATACCTCAGCTAGAATGAGCGACCTCAATACCCAGAAAATACTTTAATCTGCCCAGATCCTTGGTCTGAAAGTGCTGAAAGAGATGTTGCTTTAACTTAGTAATACCATCCTGATCATTGGCGGTAATAACAATATCGTCAACATAAATGACCAGATAAATACAGAGATTTGAAGCAGAATGCCGATAAAGCACATAGTGATTAGCTTCACTACGAGTCATGCCAAACTCCTGGATAACTGTGTTGAACTTACAAAACCAGGCTCGAGGAGACTGCTTTAAACCATAGAGGGACCGGCACAACCGACATAAAAGGCCACTAGACTCCCCATAAGCAACAAAACCAGGTGGTTGCTCCATATAAACCTCATCCTCAAAGTCACCGTAAAGAAAAACATTCTTAATGTTCAACTGATAGAGAGGCCAATGGCGAACAACAACCATGGATAGAAAAAGGCGGACTGATACTATTTTAGCCACAAGAGAGAAAATATCACTGTAATTGAGCCCAAATATCTGAGTATACCCTTTGGCAACAAGACGGGTCTTAAGTCGATCAACCTGGCCATCTGGACTAACTTTGAATGCATACACCCAACGACAACCAATAGTCGATTTACCAGAAGGAAGAGGAACAAGCTCCCAAGTACCACTCGTATGTAAAGCAGACATCTCATCAATCATAGCTTGTCGCCATGCTGGATAAGACAATGCTTCACCTGTAGACTTAGGGATGGAAACAAAGGACAAAGATGATACAAATGCATAATGGTGTGATGACAGACGATGGCAACTTAAACCGACATAATGGAGATTAGGATTAAGTGTGGACCGTATAACTTTCCGTAGTGCAATCGGTTGACTAAGAGGAGACAAGTTCGCAGTATTAGCAGGGTCAGGTGCAGGACATGAATCAGGTGGACCTGATGCTGGGCGCAGACGACGATGATAAGTCAGGAGTGGTGGAGCTACAGAATTGAACTCGACTAGGTGGTGGAATTGGAGCTATAGGTGGTGGAGCTGCAACTGGAGCTGTAAGTGGTGGAGCTGGAGTTGTAGAGGAAGATGAATGGGAGATAGTGACTGAATTTCCAAAAGATGAAACTGGTAGCACCTCAGAAATATCTAAATGATTACCTGGACCGTGAAGTATGACTGGGTTTCAAAGAAGGTAACATCAGCGGACATAAGGTACCGCTGGAGGTCAGGAGAATAGCATCGATACCCCTTTTGCATTCTCGAGTAACCCAGAAATACGCAATTAAGAGCACGAGGAGCTAACTTATCTTTTCCTGGAGTAAGGTTATGAACAAACACGTGCTTCCAAAGACACGGGGTGGAAGAGAGAACAAAGGTAAGGGAGGAAATAGGACAGAGAATGGAACTTGATTTTGGATAGCTGAAGATGGCATACGATTAACAAGATAGTAAGATGTAAGAACTGCATCCCCTAAAAACGCAACGGAACATGAGATTGTATGAGTAAGGTACGAGCAGTTTCTATAAGATATCTATTCTTTCTTTCAGCTACCCTATTTTGTTGAGATGTGTGCGGACAAGGTGTTTGATGAATAATCCCGTGAGAGTTCATAAACTGATGAAATGGGGAAGGCAAATACTCTAGGGCATTATCACTACGAAATGTATGGATAGAAACCCCAAGTTGATTTTGAATTTCAGCGTGGAAGGTCTGGAAAATAGAAAACAACTTAGACCATTTTTTCATCAAAAATATCCAAGTGCACCTGGAATAATCATCAATGAAACTGACAAAGTAGCGGAATCCCAAGGTAGAACTGACTCGACTAGGACCCCAAACATCTGAATGGACTAAAGTAAAAGGTGACTTTGCTCGATTATCAAGACGCCGGGGGAAATAGGAGCGGGTATGCTTACCGAGCTGACATGACTCACACTCTCGAGTGGACAAGTGGGATAAACCAGGTACCATTTTCTGAAGTTTTGACAAACTGACCGTTTATGTAATAAATCTGGTGAATCAGTAACATGACAAGTTGTTGAAGGAAGACAAGATGTGAGTACATGTGATTTAGCAAGGATAAGGTAATAAAGTCCATTTGATTCATGCCCGGTACCAATGATCCACCCCGTACTGCGTTCCTGTATAAAATCAAAGTCATCAAGAAATAAATCAGCACATTTAAGTGATTTGGCTAAGCGACTAACGACTATGAGATTAAAAGGACTACTAGGAACATAAAGAACTGAATCTAAAGGCGAGGAAGGAAGTGGGCTTGCTTGACCGATTGTAGTTGCCATGGTTTGAGATACATTGGCCATTGTGACTATTGGAAGAGATTGAGAATACGAAATACTCATGAAAAGAGATTTGTTACCAGAAATATGATCAGATGCACCTGAATCAATGACCCAAGAATCGGAGGATGAAGATTGGGAGACACAAGTCACGCTATTACATGTTTGAACAACGGAATCTTTCGGAAATAGTACTGGTGGACTCGGAATTGCTGTGTGAACAGGCTTTCCTGAAGAAGCTTGGCCAAAAAATGGCCGGAGAAGCACGCACGCGCCGGCGCGTACGACAAACGCGCCGGCGGAATCGCAGATCTAGGTGGCGCGTGGGGCGTCTATTGCCCGAGAATCTTTTTGGGGTTTGGTCGCTGGAGTTTTCTGAGTCTAATAGCGTTGTTGGTTTGTGCACAACACTCACCAAACGTGAGATGACACAAATCAGTCACTTAGGTCACCGGAAAATTGCACGGTGACTGAGTTATTTCTTCCCGGATGTCGCTGGAATGGCGTATAGCGATCTTTTCTCACTAATGCTCTGATACCATGTGAGAAAGCACATGAAAAAATATTATTGCTTATTTTCTATGTTACAATAAGCCTATTTATATGTATACATAACACATAACTTACTCCTATTACATAAGGGACTAAGACTAATTACATATATTCACATAACTATTCTAACAAACAAACATATCGAGGTTGATAGTCACTTTATTCGTGAGAAGATTCAGGAGAACCTGATTTCCACTAGTTATGTAAAGACTGGAGAGCAACTAGCTGATTTTATTCACAAAAGCGCTGAATAGAACTCGAGTTAATTATCTTTGGAACAAGTTGGGCATGGTCAACATCTACGCTCCAACTCGAGGGGGAGTATTATAGAATATTAGCTGTAAATATAGTCTAAATACATTTACTAGATCAATACATGTAGCAGATCTCGTAATATTCTCTTTCATTTGTTTTGATTTCTTTCCTTAGATAGATTTGTTGTAACGATATAAATTCCTTTCATATTCATGAATAGAGAAATCAGCTTCAACCATTGAATTAAAGATTAAAATCAAAATGCTCTTTCATGAATAAAGTAATGTCACTTTGCGCATCACGTGTTTGAAACCTGTCAGAGACAAAAGTGTGGTATTTAAGTATAGGGACGAGCTCATTATCCATCAAGTTTCGAACAGTGCGCTAGTTCGCCCTTCGGAATTTCTCGGTTACTAAATTAAAAAGTAGAGCCGCTTTGTTTACAGTCGAAAGGAGACCTAACTAGAGGATCAATTCATGCCTGTATTTATTCCTACTATTTGGCAAAAATATGATGGGCAACCACTTTGTAGATGCTTATCATTCAGCTGTGGTACTCATATTGATAAAGTTTTACCTTATGTACTTCTCTATGTAAAATCTCAGCCACACACCGGATTAATTTTTGGACCAGCTAAGCGTGTTCTTACTCATGTATTTGCTTCAGATACATCACATTTGCAACTGTGCATCATTTGCCAAGTTCTCGGGGCTGCGCCTGGATCCTGATTTTGTGGAGATCCCCGCCCTTTTGATGGAGAATTGGTGTGTGTTTAACACTGCCCTTTAAATTGATCCCTGTACCGTTAGCTTATGGTATTATAAGTTTGAATTATTCGTGCCAGGTGCTATGAAAACCTCTCTTTGAGACTGATCTCTGGTTTTCATCAGGTGATGCATACTTCCACTGTACTTTCTATCCATTCTCTATGCTTCCAGTAAGATGAGACTTAAAATACATCAGATATTCAGACTTGCTACTATTATGCTTTTCCTTGCTCTTCCATCTGTTCTCTCTATTGCAAGAAATGTTCTTTTGAGTAGCATTTACCATTCAAAAAAAAAGAAGGAAGAAAAACGGTTACTTTGAAGGAATGCATTTGCTTTTTTACTTGCTTATGTTAACCTTCATGCTAGTTTAACCAATAGATTTCAAGTTTGATACATTGGCTTCAAATCAGAAACTATGCTTGACCTGATGTTATTGCCAACAAACTTGGTAATCGTTCTTTTTTAGATAGTTTGACAATATTTATACTCTATCTGCGTCACTTGCCTTTGGTAGGATATCACAAAGCCCATCAAAGATGAACTTTGTAAATCGCTTAAGAAATGGCGATGCTCCTTCTCAGCACTGAAATTAAAACAGGAGATCTTTTATTGTAAGTCTTTCTATTAGCTTGTTTAAAACTTAGCAATTTACTGGTTCTTCTTCTAATCCATGAATGGATAACCTATTCTGTTCTTTTGGATCCTTTTAGATACTAAAATTGGTAGTCTTCAACACAAGCATGTATTAATTGATTTTTTAGTAAATATAAGAATTCTGTCATACACTTTCTGCTGCAATTTTTCAAAACTTGCGTTTTCCTAGTCATGCATACATTATTAAATTGCCACTATTTCAATGATATGCTTACTCCTTTCCCACGTATTTCTATGATATAGTCTTAGAATGTGCAACGTAAGATGTTAGAATAATCACAAATAACTATCCGTCATCTGATAAAAAGAATCACAAATACCTGCATGCCATCTCTACTTGCTCAACATTCTGGATTTGTCCTGCTTCTGGACCTGATTCCATTACCTTGTGTTATCAGATCTTCTATCAGCACTTCACTAGGTCTGATCTGCAGTCTTTTCTAAACATTTCTTTGCTTTTGACTAGGGGTGTCAAATGAGCGAGTTGGGCTAATTTTGGGCGGGTCAAAATGGGTGGAGTTAATAAATGGGCGGGTTATTGACCCGCCCAAAAGTAACTTGGGCTGAGATGAGCTAGGTCAAGTTGGGCTAAAATTTGGGTTATAGCCCAACCCGCCCAATTCTTATCAAGCTTTAATTAATGTTATTGTATTCTTATGAATTGTTTAATTATCAAATAAGACTTTTTTTTTCTTTTGTTATGGTCATATATAACATATCAAACAAAAATAATTATTTTAAATATATTTTAGCAAAGTTACTCGTGGATGAATTTGGGCTAAAAATCAGCTCAACTTTAGATGGGCTGAAATGGATTGGGTCAAGATGGGTTGAGTTTAACTAATGGGTGGGTCAATGACCAGCCCAACCTTAGGCTGGTCAAATGGGTTTGGGCTCAAATTGCCACCCCTAATTTTGAGATAATTTATGTATGCATGATCCGAGAGAAGTAAGGTCATCTTAGCTCACCTATTTCACATTCAGTCTTGGCTTAAGGACTTTGGCCTTTATCTTTTGATCAAACATCACTTTCCTGCTTGGGAAAATTGCACTTTTGGTTCCATCATTCAGATTTTGTTGTCGGTTCTCGTGATATCTAACTAAGCAATATTTAATTTCCATTTAATTGAAATATCCACTTTGTTCTCTTGATTGATGGCCTCCCGCAAATTCAATAGAATATTAACTACTGAACCACGTGTCTACAATTACTATGCTACATGGAGGTTATATTGATATTTATTTCCTGCAGATTTAAGGGGATATAATTTGTTTGCAACTGTCACCTTTCTATGTGGAACATAAGCACTAAAATAGCCTCCACTTGGCATAATACATAATGTAATACTAATATTCACATGTTTTAAGAGTAAACCATGAAATTGGTCGGAGTCTAGTTCACGAGGGACTTAAAATGCACATTACAATTAATTGAAGGTTAAATTTTCTCAGTAAGATATCATGAGTACCAAAACATAGTTTATCAATCACTGAAGGTCCAAAAAGGCAATTTCCGTAGCTACTTTGGGCTTTCCTACTTCCCCAACTGTCCCTTCACGCCAAAAGAAAATTGGTGTTGAAGGAACTATTTTGCTGGTAAAATAGATCTCCTTCCCTGCTCCCCTGCCTCCAAATGCGAGAAAATGATGTAAAATCACCACCAGTCTGCTTCTGGATTTTTTAGTTGGATTTCACAGTGATCCTATAAATGTTACTGGGTTTCAGAAATGTTTTTGTAAGGAAACTAATAAATCCAAATGTATTTGTCAAAAATGGCAGCAAAGGAATGGGATGACAGTGACGAGATACAATGGCAGCGGTGAAACCGGTGGATATGGAAAGGCAGAGATGGAAATAAGCGGAGAGACAGAGGCACAAAAGAAGGAAAAGAAACGAGAGTAGAGTTAGGGGTTTTGGTGTAGTGAAGGGTATTTTTGGGAGTATAATAAACTGTAAGGGTTAACAAAGTAAAATATTTAATCAAACACAAGGAGCTTTTAAGTTGAAAAGCCATGTTGGGGTGTGCAGCTTATGGCTTTTGGTTTGTTTTGGGATAAAAACATTTAGCTTAATAGCACTTTTGGTGTTTACCAAACACTAAAATAAGCCAAAAGGTACTTAAAACCAGCTTCTAAGTTTATCCAAACACCCTTGAAAAGCTCGTCAAATTAGCTTTTAAGCACTTTTTGTCTTATCTTTGGTGTTTGATAAACACCAAAAGTGCTTTTAAACTAAAACAAGCCAAAAATCATTAATTGGCACCCTAACTTGTGTCTTTTCTGCTTAAAAGCTCCTTGGATTTACTAAGTATTTTACTTTGTTGTCCCTTACATTTTCTTATATTCCAAACAATACCTTTCACTGCACCAAAAGCCCAAACTCCACTTTCGTTTCTTTTTCCTGTTTTGCCGCTTCCTTTCCTTCTATGCATCTTTACCGATTCCTTCTGCAGATAGACTATCAAGTTGGAAGATGTGGTATTTGTCTAAGTGAGAAAGAGCAACTTTAGCAAATAGTTTATTCGATAATCTTTCCATGTATACCATGTCTTTGTTTCCTTTACCTGCTAAAGTGGAGAACCAACTGAATAGACTACGAAAAGGCTTCCTCTGGGGAAAAGGGGTGATAAAATGATATTGGTCAAATAGGAGAAGGTGAAAGAGGTCTAAACTGAGGATGGACTTGGTGTAAGGAACTTAAGACTACAGAGTACGAGCTATTTAAATAGTTTTTGCGATATAGTCAAGACGAAGATTTACCTTGGAGAAGGGTTTAAGTGCTAAAAATGGGAAAGAACAATGTTGGTGCAACAAGACAAACTCAAACCCTATCATGGATATGGTCTAAGGACACACATAGAAGTCTTTGGTCAGCATTCCGAATATACACCTACTTAAAAGTAGGAGATGGTCGAAATTTTTTTTGGAAAGGTTGTTATCTTAGAAATAAACTCTTGAAGGAGGCTAACCCTGATAGCTCAATTTAGCTGTAAATCCAGATGCTACAATTGCTCATTGCAGGACTGTAATAATTGGAGCATTAATCTGAGGAAATATTTACAGGACAGTTGGATACTTGGATGGATGGCTTGCTGCATTTATTGGATGTATTGTGTGAGAGGGCTTGGGAGGTGTGAGAAAATGAGTAATTCAGCTGATCTTAGACCAAAAATGACAAATTTACTTAAATCTGCGTACAAGGTGCTCTACTCTTTTGGATGAGTCTCTCCAAATGAAGCTTGCCTAACCCAAGATAATCTGATGAAAGGAGAAATAATGATGTGCAACAGATGTTTTTTTATGTGTGAAAAGAGTAGAGAAGTGTTAATCACCTGTTCCAGTACTGGAAAGCTGCAACTGAAATGTGGCATATGTTCCTAACTATATGTGAATGAAATAGGTGACAATGATATGACCATATCACAGTGCTTTTGGTGCTGAAGATGGAAAAAAAGAGAAAAGGAAGGTAAAGACATTCGGGAAACCGTTCCTCTGTGCTTCTTTTGGGTTATGTGGAGGGAGAGGAATGGCAGGTGCTTTGAAGACAGTCGAACAACAGTTCATCAGCTGAACGCCTCATGTTTGCATTTTTCTCTGGTGTAATAGTATTTGGTTTATGGACTTCATCAGTTTCCCTCTTAGCTAAAGGGATATTTTGTAATCTGCACCCTATGTGAAAAATGCAATGCCCTAATGCTATATTATTGAAAAGTATAATTTACCTTTTGCTCCGAAAAAACTGTTGCATATTTAATTCACATATGCATAAGATATGCAATAGCGGTCTCTGAGTTAAAGGTTTGGTAGGACTCATGAATTTTTAGAATGCTATTGTTGGTTTTTTAAAAGATGGGGCAGCAAAAATATTAAAAATATTGATCGAAAATGTCTCTCAATAATTTTATTAAGCATAACAAGGCTTTAAATAGCCAATTAGGAACAAAAAATTCACATAATTTAAAATTCAAAAAACCTAAAATATCTCAACTAACTTAACAATCTAATAGAAATTAAAATTAAAATTCATCCTAAAACTAAGCAACTTGTTCTGCTAAAAAAGTTACTGCAGTAACTGAAAGCAACAAAACTTCAACACTCCTCTGCTTCGGTTGCTGCAATTTAAAAAGTTGCTCCTCAATTCTTGCTTCTGTTATTTGTGCTTGAGGATTGTTTTGAGCATCGCTGAAATTGCACACTTTTGTAGTGCAGTTCTTTTTCTTTTCTTCTTTCTTTCTCGTCTTATGGTTTTGTGCATAAAAAAGACCCTTAGTGACCTTGTCTTATCTGAAATTTCTTTTGAAAGTATTTGATTCTGAACAATTATAGGATTTTCAGAGATTGCTCGTAAGGATTGTTCTTCCATTACAACATTCAACAAATCATAAGTTTTAAGATATGATTGTATTTTCACTGAGCAAATCCGATAGTTTTCGCCAGTGAAAGTTTGTGGGGCATTCAAAGAGAGATTGTTGCTTGCCATGTTTGAAAATGGGTTTAAAAATTAATATTGGTTAAAAATGATTTGAAAATGGTTCTTTGGAAGAACTCACATATCCCGTAAGACCAATGAAGCTCTTGATACCACTGTTGGTTTTTTAAAAGATGTGGCAGCAAAAATATTTAAAATATTGATTGAAAATGTCTCTCAATAATTTTATTAAGCATAACAAGGCCCCAGTTTCTTGTTTCTATCGATCAATTTCATCACCTTTCCGGTGAAATTGACAAAACGACGAAACTTTCCGGCCAGATCTAACAAAGAAGAGTGTTTCAATCCTTTTCAAAATTTGAACTAGTAAAAAGTGTATATTACATTGGAACGGTGCATCTGAAATTCCAAAAGAATGCTGCTTCTGAAAATTTCAGCCGGCCACGTTTGGCCGGCGACTATTCACGCATCGACGCAGGTGAGGTAAGGTTTTCTCTTTTCTCTTCTCCGCCTATTCTCGTTCTTCCCCTTTTCTTTGTTCCTTACTCCCCTTCTCTTTCTCTCGATCTCTTTCCCCCCGACAGTCCCTTTTCTTTTTTTCTTTCTTCCTCTGCTTCTTCTCCTTTCTTCCATTGTCTAGTTTTATTGCCCGGACCAGCCGCCCTAGGCGGCGACCTAGGCAGTTTGTGGTTTTTGTCGTATATCTTGGACAGGGCGGGAGAGGCAATTTTAGCCAAGTTTAAGCACAAGGGTTCGGGAGGCAGCAACATTTAGGTTCCATCTTTCTTGAATTGTATTTGCGCACATTTATTTACTGTTGCCTTGCCGGTAATTTTTGTTTGTGTACACATCTATTAGTTTTGGTTGCCTTGCCGGTAACCCGTAGTTGGAGTGATTGCTTTTTCTATCTTTTCTACTAGTGTTTTAAGCTTAAGGTTTCATCTATCTCTTTTAATTCTGTGTTTGCATAAGGGTAGTTTCTTAGACGTGGTGGATTCATTGTTCTAGTGCCTGCTCGCGTTATTGTTCTCGTAGTAGCGCCTTTGGGTTGTTTTTAGCTCTCAGGTTCGTAGCTTGTAGTCCTTCGTTCCCGCTACTTGTTCTTAGTGGTAGTGTTTACCTAATACCTTTTGCNCGAAGCGCTAGGGGTAAGAATGGGGTAGGTATTTTAGTTGGCAGGGACCTCAGGGAGCTCGTGGTCGAGGTTAGGAGAGTAAATGATAGGTTGATGAGTATTAAGCTTGTAGTTGGTGGGTTTACTATAAACGTGATTAGTGCATACGCTCCTCAGGTAGGTTTGGACCAGGAGGTCAAGAAGCAATTATGGGAGGATTTGGACGAGATGGTGCGTAATATCCCCGCACAGAGAAGTTGTTCATTGGCGGAGATTTCAATGGCCATATTGGGGCTAGTGCTAGGGGTTATGATGATGTGCATGGCAGGTTCGGTTTTGGGGATAGGAATGAGGGAGGTAATTCATTGTTGGATTTTGCTAGAGCTTTTGATTTGGTTATAGCTAACTCGAGTTTTCCGAAGAGGGAAGAGCACCTGGTCACTTTCCGAAATTCAATGGGCAAGACTCAGATTGATTATCTTCTCTGTAGGAAATGCGATAAAGGTCTGTGCACTGATTGTAAGGTCATCCCAAGTGAGCACCTCACGACCCTACATAGGATCCTAGTTATGGACCTGAAGATCAAGAGGAGTAGGCAGAAGAGGGCGGAGTGCAGGCAACCTAAGATCAAGTGGGGTAACTTGACCAAGGACAAAGCTCAGGAGTTAGGGGAGAAGTTGTTGGCTATTAGGGCCTGGATGAGTAGGGGGGACGCGTCTAGTATGTGGTTCACGACTGCGAATTGCATTATAGTAGTTGCTAGAGAGGTTTTAGGGGTCACGAAGGGCTCTCCTGGGGTCATAAAGGGGACTAGTGGTGGAATGGAGAGGTCCAAGGTAAAGTGAAAACTAAGAAAGCTACTTATTTGAAGCTAGTGGAGAGTACAAACGAGGAGAAAAAAAGGACTTATCGGGAGTGTTACAGAAAGGCAAAGAAAGAGGCAAAGTTAGCAGTTACGACGGCTAAGAATGCGGCGTTTGCTAGTTTGTACGAGGAGCTCGGGGGCAAATGCGGGGACAAGAAGTTGTACCGGTTGGCCAAGGTGAGGGAGAGGAAAGCCCGCGACTTAGACCAAGTCAAGTGCATCAAGGACGAGGATGGCAAAGTATTGATGGACGAGGCACTTATTAGGAGAAGATGGCAGACATACTTCCATAAACTGTTGAACGAGGAGGGGGATAAACGCATTGTGCTGGGTGAGTTGGAGCACTCCGAGAGTCGGCGAGATTTTGGGTACTGTAGGCGGATTATGGTAGAGGTGGAAGGGGCAATGTGTAAGATGTGCAGGGGGCAGAGCGACGGGGCCAGACGAAATCCCTGTGGAATTCTGGAAGAGCGCGGGGCGAGCAGGTTTGGAGTGGCTCACTGGGCTGTTTAATGTTATTTTTAAGACGAAGAAGATGCCCGAAGAATGGAGGTGGAGTACTATGGTTCCGCTTTACAAGAACAAGGGTGATATCCAAAATTACAACAATTATAGGGGTATCAAGCTATTGAGTCACACTATGAAGGTTTGGGAGAGGGTGGTGGAGGCCAGGGTTAGGAGGTGCGTGTCTATTTCCGAGAATCAGTTTGGATTCATGCCGGGGCGTTCGACTACGGAAGCGATTCATCTGGTAATGAGATTAGTGTCGTAGTACAGGGAGAGGAATAAGGACTTGCATATGGTGTTTATTGACCTTGAGAAAGCGTACGATAAAGTCCCGAGAGAGGTCCTGTGGAGGTGTTTGGAGGTTAGCGGCGTTCCAGTAGCGTACATCAGGGTGATTAAGGATATGTATGATGATGCTAAGACTCGGGTGAGGACTGTGGGTGGTGACTCAGAGCATTTCCTTGTGGTGATGGGGTTGCACCAGGGATCGGCTCTTAGCCCATTTTTATTTGCCTTGGTGATGGATGTACTGTCGCGACACATCCAAGGGGAGGTGCCTTGGTGCATGCTATTTGCCGATGATATAGTATTGATTGACGAGACGCAAAGCGGAGTTAACGCGAGGTTGGAGGTTTGGAGACAGACCTTGGAGTCTAAAGGTTTCAAACTGAGTAGAACCAAGACAGAATACTTAGAGTGCAAATTCAGTGACGGGACCCATGAAGCAGACGTAGAGGTAAAGCTTGATGCTCAAGTTATGCCCAAGAGAGCGAGTTTTAAGTATCTCGGGTCTATTATTCAAGGTAACGGGGAGATTGACGAAGATGTCGCACATCACATCGGAGCGGGATGGATGAAGTGGAGGCTCGCTTCCGGTGTTTTATGTGATAAGAATGTGCCGCCAAGACTTAAAGGTAAGTTTTATAGAGTGGTGGTTCGACCGACTATGTTGTATGGGGTTGAGTGTTGGCCAGTCAAGAACTCCCACGTGCAGAAGATGAAAGTAGCAGAGATCAGGATGTTGAGATGGATGTGTGGGTGTACCAGGAGAGATAAGATTAATAATGAAGCTATCCGGGACAGAGTGCGAGCAGCCTCCGTGGAGGACAAGATGTGGGAGTCGAGGCTGAGATGGTTCGGACATGTTAAGAGAAGAAGCATTGATGCTCCTGTTAGGAGGTGTGAGAGGTTGTCCATGGAGAGATTTGAGAAGAGGTCGAGGTAGGCCTAAGAAGTACTGGGGAGAGGTGATTAGACGGGACACGACGCTGCTTCAACTCACTGAGGACATGACCCTTGATAGGAGGGTGTGGAGGTCGAGGATTAAGGTAGAAGGTTAATGGGTAGTTTTTAGTTGTTCACCGATAGTCTTAGTAGCACACATGTCCCTTCATATTCTTAGATTTTTATTACGTTATGTGATTTTGTTCGCCTCAGGTATTGT